GGGCGCTGTCCCTCAGCTCTTCAGCTCAAGACTAGTGCTCTACCACTTGAGCCACAGCGCCACTCCTGGCTTTTTCTGCTTATGTGGTGCTGAGGAATTGAACCCAGGGCCTTATGCATGCAAGGCAAGCACTCTACCACTGAGCCCCTTCCCAGCTCTCCATGAGACTCTTATTTCCAATAAACCACCAAAAAGCCAGAAGCTTTGAGTGAAAAAGCTAAGCAACAACATCGAGGCCCTGAGTTCAATTCCTAGCCCCAACACACACACACACACACACACACACACACACACACACACACACACACACCTATATCTACCTATATCTATATCTACATGTATATAGAGTATATCTACCTATATATAGAGTATTGATGAGCTGAACAGAAAAACTTAAGAGTTAGAAAAGGGGCTGAAGAAAGCAAATGCAGAACAAAATGGAGTTGGCAGGTTTAAATTTGCTTTCTTATCCAGTTAAAGCAGAAGGGACTTTCTTATCTAGTTACCCATAACGGGCCTGCTTCAGGCTATGGACACATTGTACCTCTTAGTCAGGATCCTACATTACCCTGGCTACACCCCCTCTCTGACCCCACCCCTTAACCCTCCCCTGTCCCTTATCCCCCTCCCCTGTCAAGACCTCTTGGAACTATTTCCTGCTAGTGTCAATCTGTAACATGAGTGACTTCATTTTTAGTCTGGTCTGTTAGGACCTATTGCCGAGGTCAGATTGAACTAATGACTCCTATAAATCTTCTGAACTCTCTATAAAGGGGATTTATTTGCTCATATAACAAGAGGAGGTTCTCATAAAGAACAGGCCATGGCATGATTCAGAAGCTAAAAGTAGCCAGGCTTACACCTGTCATCCTAGTTACTCAAGAGGCTGAGGTTTGAGGATCACAGTTCCAAGCCAGCCCAGACAGGAAAGCCTATGAGACTCCTATCTCCCACTAACCAACAAAATGCTGGAAGTAGAGGTGTGGTTCAAGTGGTAGAGCATCAGCCTTGAGCAGAAAAAGCTAAGCAAGAGAGTGAGACCTTGAGTCCAAGCCCCTGAACTAAGTAAGAGGGAAGAAAGAAGGAAGGGAGGGAAGAAAGAAGGAAGAGACAAAGGGAAGAAAAGAGGAAGAAAGGAAGAAAGAAAAAAAAGCAGGTAGGGAATCATTTCATTATGTTTTCAACTTAGACTAGGGTAGAGAGATGATCACAGACTTCCTGTAGGAAAAAAACAAACAAACTGAAACTGGGCATTTTTTTTTTTCTTTTTGCTTATGTGGTGCTGAGGAATCGAATCCAGGGCCTCAGGCAGGCAAGGCAAGCGCTCTACCACTGAGCCACCTTCCCAGCCCTGAAACTGGGCATTTTAAAGCATACCTGTAATCTCAGCCCTCAGGAGGCAGAAGCAGGAGGAACACAGTTGGAGGATAGCCAGGCTATCCTGGCAACAAGCGATTTCCTAGCATTGAAAGATAAAATCCACCACCCAAACAAACCAGAATGAAGGCTGGAGTGGTGCATTGCACGGCAGAATGTTCCAGAAAAGAACAGAAAGTAGCTGGGCACTGGTGGCTCACGTCTGCCATCCCAGCTACTCAGGACGCTGAGATCTGAGGATCGTGTTTTGAAGCCAGTCTGGGCAGAAAAGTCTGTGACTCTTCCTTCTAATGAACCACCCAAAAAGCTGGAAGTGGAACTGTGGCTCAAGTGGTGGAGAATAGCCTTGAGCAAAAGAAGCTGAGGGACAGCTTCTGAGTTCAAATCCTAGGAACAGCGCGTGCACATGCGCACACACACACACACACACACACACACACACACACACAGAGAACAGAAACTGCCATATTGCACAGAGGTATAGAGAAATTGTACTCCCTAAAACGTCAGTGTGTGGAAGGGTGTGAATGAACAGTTGCGGTAAACACCAGATTGTCAAAGTTAAACAACAGCTCATGCATCCATTTGATCAGAGTTAAAACCCTAACTCAGTGGCTGAGTTAGGGGGAGTTACTTCATCCTTTTCAATGTTAGTTGCATTATCTTAAAACAGATTGTACCCGGAACCAACAATTCCCACCTATAATCTGAGCTATTCAGGAGGCTGAGATTGGAGGATTGCAGTTCATAGCCAGTCTGGGAAAAACAGTTCATGAGACTCTTATCTTCAAGGAACCACCCCCAAAAAAGCGGGAAGTAGAGCTGTGGCTCCAGTGGCGCCCAGGCCTGGAGCTTGAGCCCCAGAACCAGAACAAACAAACAAACAGATGATGAGAGTCCTTGTGTCTTTTTTTGTTGTTGGATGTGTGATGGTATTAGGACTTGAACTCAGGGCCTCATATTCTTACTTCCCTTTTTTGACCAAGCCTGGGGCTCTATCATTTGAACCACAGCTCCACTTCTGGGTTTTTGCTGGCTCATTGGAGATTGCTGGCCTGAACTCTGGGCCTGGGCGCTGTCCCTCAGCTCTTCAGCTCCAGGCTAGCGCTCTACCACTTGAGCCACAGTGCCACTTCCAGCTTTTCTCTTTTTACTTATGTGGTGCTGAGGAATCAAACCCAGGGCCTCGAGCATGCAAGGCAAGCGCTCTACCACTGAGCCACCTTCCCAGCCCCAAGAGTACTGGCTTCTAACTGAGATCCTCAGATCTCAGCCTCTGGAGTAGCTGGGATGACAGGTGTGAGCCCTGGGCACCCAGCCAGGCTAGTCTTTTTGAGAAGGCAGTGGCAGTCAACTAGCCCTGGGTGGCAGCAGAGTACTAGCCAGAAAGGTGAAGAAATAGTGGAATTTCTAAGTTGGGGCACAGGGCTTGTGTGGTATTAAGGAAAGAAGGTGAGGGCTGGGAAGGTGGTTCAGTGGTAGAGCGCTTGCCTTGAATGCATGAGGCCCTGGGTTTGATTCCTCAGCACCACATAAGCAGAAAAAGTCGAAAGTGGCTCTGTGGCTCAAGTGGCAAATCGCTAGCTGTGAGCTGAAGAGCTGAGGGACAGTGCCTGGCCTGGGCACCAACGAAAAAAAAAAAAAAGGTGAACACATGGAAAACGGTCCATGGCTTGGGCAGCGGTCAAGTGGCAGAGCACTGATGGATGCAATACAAAATTGACTGTGTGTTTTAGGGCAAACGGTGAGACTCTGTATGTTTGTTTTTCGTTGATTGTGGGGTTTGAACTCTGGGCCTGGGTACGTTGTCCCTCAGCTCTTCAGCTCAAGGATAGTGCCACTTTGAGACACAGCACCACTTCCAGTTTTTGGTTAATTGGAGGTAAGAGTCTCACAGATCTTCCTGCCCAGGCTGGCTTTGAAGCATAATCCTTAGACCTCAGCCTCCTTGAGCAGCTAGAATAACAGACGTGAGCCACCAGTGCCCAGCAACAGTCAGATTTTGTATCTGGGGTGCCCATGGGATGTTGGCAGTTCCCAGCAGGTGCCAGGCAGGTTACACCTCTGGATTTAGGTGGTTTTGGATGTCAGGTAGGCTAAGAAGAATAAACATATGGACTAATATCTCCAGCCAAAGGTGGGGAGGGTGCACTGGACTAGGGGAAATGAAGAGGAGCCAGGCCTGAGCCCTGAAGCTTATTTATTTAGTGCTGGTCTTAGGGCTTGAACTCAGAACGTGGGCCCTGTCCCTAAGCTTTTATTTATTTACTTATTTGCCTGTCCTGGGGCTTGAGCTCAGGGTCTGGGTGCTATCCCTGAGCATTTTTGCTCAAGGTTAGCAGTCTTCCACTTGAGCCACATTTCCACTTCCTGCTTTTTCTGTGATCAATTGGAGGTAAGAGTCTCACAGACTTTCCTGGCCAAGCTGGCTTTGAACAGTCATCCTCAGACCTTAGCCTCTTGAATAGCTAGAGTGACAGTTGTGAGCCACCAGCACCTGGCTCTGAAGCATATTTATGCCTTGAACATTTGAACATTTAATGGATGGATGGAGGAAGGGGCAAGCCGAGGAGATTTAAGATAGGGCACCCTAGGGAGAAAGATATAGTCTGGAATTTCAGAAGACAAACACTCTTCCATGAGGAAGTTCTAATGGGTCAGTACCAGGAATGCTGCGGGCAAAGCTGGGATTGAGAAATGTGATGTAAGCAAGCAGTGGTTCCACTGTCCAGGACCCCAGGCCTTTCTGGGAGCGAAAAGTAAACTGGAGATTGGTAAGAGTGGGAAGAAACATGCAAAGTGCAGGTAATTTTTTTTGTTTTGTTTTCCCCCTTGTGCTGGTACTGGGGTTTGAACCCAGGGCCTCACACTCGCAGTGTGAATCCAGGGCAGGAAAGTCCATGAGACTCTTATCTCTGCCAAGAAGCCAGGAGTGGAGCTGTGGCTCAAGTGGTAGAGCACCAGCCTGGAGTGGAAAAGCTCAGGGGCGGCGCCCAGGCCCCGAGTTCAAGCCCCAGGACCAGCACTAAATACATGAATAAATAACGACAATATTTAGGAAAAAGCATGCTCTGGGCTCACGCCTGATTCCTGAGGCCCCTCCCTCCTGCGTTGCACCCCCGCCGCGAGTTCAAGCCCCACCACAGACAAAAAAAATCACGCCTTCAACACTTCCTCCAGCGCCTTCTCTGCGCTCATCAGGGCGACCCCACAAACCCCTGCTTAGCCTGCGGCCTGGCTCAGAGAATCCTGTCCTCCTTAGCCGTTCTTCCTAGGAGTTCGGGTTCCGAGACCCTCAGTCCGGAAGACTCTGCCCGGACGCGCCGCCACTCTTTCTCAGAACCCGGAGACTCTGGCGGGAGGCGCCCGGGGGCGGAGCTAGTGACGCCCGGCGCCACGCCCACAGAGCCCCGCCCCTCGAAGCGCCCCCGCCCCGCCCCTTCTGAGCTGCTGCGACTGCGCAAGGCACCGCTTGGGTTCCGCCCCCTCCCTTTCTTTGTTTCCCCTGGTCTGAAGATCTCGCGGGAGTAAGGCGTCAAATCCCGCGAACGCCGACCTGGGACCCGTTCTAACAGCTCTCGCGGTGTTTCGCACGAGACTGCTGCCTTCCGTCCACCCTCGCCGGTCCGCCCGCCTCCCTCCTCCCGTCCTCCCGGCCCGGTCCCCTCCTCCCGCCGCCCTCCCCGCGGGGGAATATGGTCCCCAGCCATGGACGCCCCCGGTGCAGGTCGGTGCGGGGCTGCCTGCGTGGGTCCCTCGGCAGCAGCGGCCTGGCGGGCGCGGGGCCTTGGGGGTCCGGGCTCCCCGCAGGGCGCCGGGCCGCGCTCGGGCCTCCGGGGCTCAGCGTGAGGGTCCGGGCTCCCCGCAGGGCGCCGGGCCGCACTCGGCGCCCGAGCCTTTGGGGGTCGGGCTTCAGCGTCGGGGTCCGGGCTCCCCTCGGGGCGCTGCGGCCTGGGGTCCGGGCTCCCCTCGGGGCGCCGCGGCCTGGGGTCCGGGCTCCCCTCGGGGCGCCGCGGCCTGGGGTCCGGGCTCCCCGCGGGGCGCCGCGGCCTGGGGTCCGGGCTCCCCTCGGGGCGCCGCGGCCTGGGGTCCGGGCTCCCCTCGGGGTGCCGGGCCGCACTGGGCGCCTAGGCCTTTAGGTTCGGGTTTCCCTGAAGGCGCTGGGCCTCACTCGTTCACCCGGTCCTTTGGGGTTCAGTGTTGGGGTTCGGGCTCCCCTCAGGGCGCCGAGCCCCACTGGGCTCCCAGGCCTTTGGGGTTCGGGCTGCCCTCAGGGCGCTGGGCCTCACTCAGCATCCCGGGCCTTGGGGGGGTTCGGGCTCCCCTCAGGGCGCTGAGGCCTTTAGGGTTCGAACTCTTCTTGAGAATGCTGGGCCGCGGGAGCCTGGCCTCCGCCTCTGTCCTCGACCCCCCGGGGGTCGCCGCTTGATGCCCCCGACTCCGGCTCGTGTCAGTCACCACAGGGACAGGGAGAATGCCCACCATCTTCCTCTGCCCGCCCGCACCCCGGATGTCAGCCGTGGGGGTGTGGTGGGGGCTGTGGCCCCTTGTTTGGGCGTAAGGCCGTTATTTGTGGATTGCACGGAGCAGTCTGCAGCCCCTCCCTCTGTCTGTGCCTCTGGAAAGCGAAGTGAGGCGCCCATTAAGGCTGAGCGTTCAGCCGCCGGCTGCCCAGATCGTTTATTGGCAGCGTTCAGCCGCCTCCATTTACCTCTCTGTCCCTCACTCTTTCCCCCAACAAACCCAGAAACCACCCCTGTCCGCTCTCGAGAGTGGAGTAAGCTCATCTCTTCTCATTTTGGATGAAAGTGCTAACCAATGTTGAGTTGAGGGTCCTGCCCACCCACTGCAGATCTGCACAAAAGATTGGAATGTTCTTTTCAAACTCAAGGTCTCCCTACCTCCCCTTAGGAGCAGGGACACATTCAAATGAGACCCCTATCTCGTGAGGAGAATTTGCTTTTACTTTTTTTAATGTTCAATTTTGAGACCTGAGAACCTGTTTGTTTTGGTCTGTTCTTCAGTGCTCTGTAAAAATCGATAGATTATTATTTTTTAATCCTAACATTGTTATCTCAATTGTTCTGTCTGTCCTTACTCAATTTTCAGGGGATATCTTTAAGCCATGCCATGTATATTGTTTAGATTATCATTATTGTCTCTTCTCGTGCATTTAAATATATTGTACTAGTGGATTATTACCACTTTTTACTTGACAAGTTGTAGTTCAGCTAGGGACTGGGTGGCTCAGGCTTGTAATCCTAGCCACTCTGAAGACTGAGATCTCAATTTGAACCCAACTAGTCTGGTTAACCAGCAAAAAGCTAGAAGTGGGGTTATGACTCAAGTGGTAGAGCACTAGCTTTTAGTGACAAAGTTAAGAGATGAGTTCAAGCCCTGGTACCATTACACACTCGCACACATACATACACAAAGTCATGGTTCAGAACTATACTGTCCTAATATGGTGGACATTTGGCCATATGTGATGTGTGTGTATACTAGTACTGAGGCTTAAACTCGGTGTGGTTACTGGCCCATAACTTTTTCACTGAAGGAGCCACAGTTTTTTTTGTTTTTGTTTTTGTTTTGCTGGTCCTGGGGCCTGAACTCTGGGTCTGGGCTCTGTCCCTCAGCATTCCGCTCAAGGATAGCACTCTACCACTTGAGCCAGAGTGCCACTTCTAGATTTTTCTGCATATGTGTTGCTAAGGAATTGAACCCAAGGCCTCATGCATTCAAGGCAAGCACTCTACCACTGAGCCACCTTCCCAGCCTCTTATATGTACTTTTAATTTCACCGATTTGCAGCAAGTTCTCTTGGACAAGTTTCCAGGTGTCTTTACTTTGAGTTAATATACTTCGTAGCTGTGTTTAATAAAGCATGATTTTTTTTTTTCCAGGATATGCCTTTGAGTACCTTATTGAAACATTAGATGACAGATCACCTAAGAAGTTCTTCAATGTACCTAAACTTGGAGGCGCCAAGTATGGTAATGTAGCTTTGCCTTTTCTTGGGTTTATTTAGTGTCTAGTAACTGTCAGCCTGAGCTAGAAGGACCTTTGAAATTTATTTCCACCATGTTGAAACAGGTGTACCTGCACATATCCTTGCCAACTTTTTTTGATACAAGCTTATCCACTTATTTCTCATTTAAAAGTCCTAACTTAGGCATTGGAGGTGTGGCTCATTTGGTAGAGCACCAGCCAGTGAGTGAAAGCATCAGGTGCCAAGTTTAAGTCCTAGTCTTGAATCAAAAAAGAAAAATTTTAAGTTAAACCATAATATTTTTCCCCAGAGAAATGAATAACCTTAAAAGAAAACCTTATTATTCATACTTCTATGTAATTGTTTCTCTTACTCTTCAAGCAAACAGTCCTACAGTTAGTGTGTGTATATATGTCTGTGTATGTGTGTACGCGTATGTATGCTCTTGCTTGTGCCAGAACTGTGGCTTGAACCCAGGGCCTTTCATTCTCACTTAAGCTTTTTCATGAAAGACTGGTGGTATACTCTACCACTTGAGCCACCTCCACTTCCTTTTTTTTCTGGTTAATTGGAGATAGGAGTCTCAGATTTGTATGCCTGGGCTGGCTTTTAACTAGAGTCCTTAGATCTTAATGTCATGAGTAGCTTTCTATATGTTTTTATGAATTTAAATATTATAAACTTATATGTATAGTATTTGTGTGTCTGTGCATTCAGAGATATCTTTTAGTGGTCAGTATTGTCGAGGTCCAAGAAATCATATGATCTAGCCGGGCGCTGGTGGCTCACGCCTGTAATCCTAGCTACTCAGGAGGCTGAGATCTGAGGATCGAGGTTCAAAGCCAGCCTGGGCAGGAGAGACCGTGAGACTCCTATCTCCAATAAACCACCAGAAAACCGGAAGTGGCACTGTAGCTCAAGTGGTAGAGCGCTCGCCTTGAGCTGAAGAGCGGAGGGACAGCGCCCAGGCCCAGAGTTCAAGCCCCACGGCCGACCAAAAAAAAAAAAAGAAATCATATGATCTGTCGGCTCATGCCTTAATCCTAGCTACTCAGGAGGTTGGGATCTGAAGATCTCAGTTCAAAGCCAGATCAGGCAGGTAAATCCATGAGACTCTCATCTCCAGTTAGTCACCAGAAAACCAGAAGTGGCATGGTGGCTCAAAGTGGTAGAGCACAGTGTTGAGCAGAACTGAGCTCAGGGATAGTGCCCAGGCTCTGAGTCCAAGCGGGATGAATGGAAGAAAAGAAAGAAGAAGAAAGAAAGGTCTTTGCTAGGCGATGGTGGCTCACACTTACAATCCTAGCTACTTTGGGGCTGAGATCTAAGGATCATGGTTTGAAGCCAGCTGGGGCAAGATAGCCTGTTGAGGCTCATATGTCCAGTTAACCACTAAAAGCTGCAAGTGAAACTGTGGCTCAAGTGGTAGATTGACAGTCCGGGGGGCGGGGTGGGGGGGGTGGGAGGACGCTCAGGGACAGTGCCCAGGTCCTAAATTCAAGCCCTGGCACACACACAATAAAGTCTTTTGTCTTCCTTCTCCCAGATATCTAGTGAACCTTGCCTGGAAGGGTTTTTTAAACCTCAAATTTCATAGGTTAGTAAGTAGAAAAAGCACATATAAAGATGGGTGTTAGGGGGCAGGAGTACTGGGGCTTGAACCCTGGGTCTCATGCTTGCAAAGCAAGTGCTTTACCACTTGAGCTACACCTCCACTATCAAGGTGATCTTGAACTTAGGTACAAATACTTCCTGTGTTAGTAATTTGTAGAAACATGCCAGTTTGAAGATGACCTATATTTCCCAATTCAGGGAATTTGTAGGGAGTCAAAAACAACTAAAATGCATTAGAAAGAGTTATTGATGATGGGAAATAAGGTGACATGAGTATCTGTGAAACTGCAGAATGATCTGTGCATACTCTCAGAGTTACTGGAATTTTATGAGTGTAATAAACATAAAACATCTTTTTTTTTTTGGTTGGTCATGGGGCTTGGCTGTCCCTCAGCTCTTCAGCTTAAAGCTAGCGCTCTACCACTTGTGCCACTTCTGGCTTTTTCTGCTTATGTGGTGCTGAGGAATTGAACCCAGGGCCTCATGCATGCAAGGCAAGCACTCTACCATTGAGCCACCTTCCCAGCCTTAAAACTTCTATTTTTGTGTGTGTGTGTAGTCAATATCCTGTTTTGTTTTTTTAATACAGTGATTATCATAAGAGGTTTGTCAATAGTTATTTATTTCTTGTTTTTTTTTTTTGGTCCAGTCATGGGCCTGAACTCTGGGCCTGGGTGCTGTCCCTCAGAGCTTCAGCTCAAGGTTAGCGCTCTACCACTTGAGCCACAGCGCCACTTCGGGCTTTTTTCTTTTTTTCTTTTTTTTGAGTCCAGTCGTGGGCCTGAAGTCTGGGCCTGGGCGCTGTCCCTCAGCTCTTCAGCTCAAGGCTAGCGCTCTACCACTTGAGCCACAGCACCACTTCCGGCTTTGTTCTTTTTGCTTATGTGGTGCTGAGGAATCGAACCCAGGGCCTCATGCATGCAAGGCAAGCGCTCTACCACTAAGCCACCTTCCCAGCCCAATAGTTATTTATTTCTTTATAATTAAGGGGGATAGCATTTGAAAAAAAGAATTGAGTTTCAAAGGAAGAATCATTTTGATTGTTTAGCATCAAAACAAAAGGTTCTTGTTACATGTTTGGAAGGACTGGGTTGAGTGGTGTCCCAGATGTGTTTCCAAGAAGATGCTGCTTAGGTCACCACCAAGATCCAGGCCACAGTACTCACTGCCTGTTTCACCTTCTGATGCCTGTCAGGTTGAGAATCACAGCCAGAAAGAATACTGGTATTGAGGGGAATGCATTCCATCCTATGTAGGTTGGGAAGGGAAGATAATTGAGAACCATTTTTTGTTTAACTTTTCTTTTTCCTTTTTTTTTTTTTTTTTGGTGGTTGTGGGGCTTGAATTCAGCCTGAGCTCTGTCCCTCAGCTCTTCACCTCAAGGCTAGCGCTCTACCACTTGAGCCACTGCGCCACTTCTGGTTTTCTGGTGGTTTTCCTGCCCAGGCTGGCTTTGAACCATGATCCTCCGATCTCAGCCTCCTGAGTAGCTAGGATTACAGGCGTGAGCCACCAGCACCTGGCTGGTCTTGTCTTTTTTGACACTGGAGATTGAACCCAGGACTTTGAGCTTACTAGGGAAGTGCTTTGCTATTGAGCTACATCCCAACCCAGTTTTTCTTGTTTATTTGTTGTTTGTGTGGTGCTAGTCATGGGGTTTGAGTTCAGGGCCTGGTGCTATTTCTGAGCTTTTTTGCTCAAGGCTTTCCCTCTACCATTTGAACCACAACTCCACTTTGGGCTTTTTTGGCGCTTAGTTGGGGATAAGAGTTTCATAGATTTTCATGCTGGACTGGCATCAGATCTTAATCCTCAGATCTCAGCCTCCTGAGTAGCAGGGAGTACAGGCATGCGCCATCAGTGCCTGGCTGAGCACTACTTTTCTAAGCACCAACCTGTAAGGAATGCCCACAGCTATGCAAGACTGAGAAACGGCTGCACATGACTTTGACAAACAGGGAGTCATGTTTGTTTTTTTTTTTTGAGTCATGTTTTTGACATAGGTAGGAGTCTAAGATGAACAAGCTCAGACTGTGTATCATCAATTTTAGTTAGGATATAGATTTTCCTATTCCCTTTTTTTTTTTTGTCCCAGTCCTGAGGCTTGAACGTACGGGCTAGGTGACATTCCTTAGCTTCTTTTGCCTAAGGCTGCCACTCTACCACTTGAGCCACAGCTTCACTTCTGGTTAATGAGTCTTATGACTTTTCCTGCCCAGGCTGGCTTCAAACCAGGATCCTCAGATCTCAGAATAGCTAAGGTTACACACTTGAACTATCAGTACCTGGCTTCCATTTTTCTTTTTCTTTTTTTCCTGATTAGAACTCAAAAACTTGCTCTACCACTGAACTACATCCCCTACCTAGGTCATGGGTTTTTGAGACTTTGAATATGTGGCCCAGATTGGCCTAAAATTTGAATCCTTCTTCCTCTACTTCCTGAGTGCTGGGATTATGAGTGTGCCACCATGCTTCATTTGGCTTTTATTCTTTTTTCTTTTCTTTTTTTTTTTTTTGTCGGTGTTGGGGCCTGAACATTGGGCCTGGGTGCTGTCCCTCAGCTCTTCAGCTTAAGGCTAGTGCTCTACCACTTGAACCACAGTGCCACTTCCATTTTTTTCTGCTTATGTGGTGCTGAGAATAGAACCCAGGGCTTCAAACATGCGAGGCAAGCACTCTACCACTGAGCCACCTTCCCAGCCCTGGCTTTTATTCTTTTTTTTTTGGGGGGGGGGGTCCGGTCGTGGGGCCTGAACTCTGGGCCTGGGCGCTGTCCCTCAGCTCTTCAGCTCAAAGCTAGCGCTCTACCACTTGAGCCATAGCACTACTTCCGGCTTTTTTTCTTTTTGCTTATGTGGTGCTGGGAAATTGAACCCAGGGCCTCAAGCATGCAAGGCAAGCGCTCTACCACTGAGCCACCTTCCCAGCCCTAGCTTTTATTCTTTTGGCTGAGGAATATGTATTGTGTCTTCCGAACAGGAAGGGCAAAACAAGAAATCCTCCAGTAGAATGTCAGTGACCACATACACCTTACAGAAGGTGATGTGGTTGGTTTTTTTTTTTGTTTTTGTTTTTTGTTTTTTTTTTGACAGTCATGGGGCCTGAACTCTGGGCCTGGGCGCTGTCCCTCAGCTCTTCAGCTCAAGGCTAGCACTCTACCACTTGAGCCACAGTTCCACTCCTGGCTTTTTCTGCTTATGTGCTGCTGAGGAATCGAACCCAGGGCCTCAGGCATGCAAGGCAAGCGCTCTACCACTGAGCCACCTTCCCAGCCCCTAATGTGGTTGTTTTAGCCTTGTATCTTTTATAGTTGGAAAAAGAAAAGGGAGAGAAGGGGTTGGGAGAGGCTTGCACACATTTCTTGATTTGTTTTTTACTGCCATCTTTTTG